AAATTTATATACGACTTACAATTGACTGTGAATATTTCAAAAATTCACAAGACCTGTACAATCATATGCACTGTACATGTGTAAATAGCATGAAAGTTAATTTAATTTTTAAGTTTATACATAGCTCACAGTCAGCTCCTAAATATTAACATTTTCGTACTGCACACATAGTCCCAAATCGGCTAAATCTAAATAAAAAAGTCAATTATTGTGGATTTTTTTAACCAAAAACATATAATATAAATTATATATAATATGAACCTATAAATATATTATTTTATAACTATAAACAAAATGAAATTGTTATAAATTTACTAAAAAAAAAAAAACTTATATAATTGACTCTATTATACCTATAATAGACAAAATAATAATAATTTTTTTGATTTGCATTGAAAATAATGATTATATCCACAAGCTTTTACAGGAAAAATCATGTAAAATAAAATAAAAAATTTATAAAATATAATATTCATGAATGTTGGACGTCAGTATATTATTATAAAGACTAAAGAGTGATCTACTTAGCACGCTCACACGCTTCTTTTCTTCAATGCCGCAATTATTCAAAACCTGATTTTTGGAATATTATACATAAATATATTTGATTTTATAAAAAAAATTCTAAATATAAAAAGTGTTAAAAGTCAGATTTAAAACTACATAATTGAAGAAAAAATAGGTTGATGAATCACTTTGTACATACTACATAGTAGGTACTCAAATCAAATAATTTTTTTAATACAACTGTTGTCTTAATAAAATACTTATCAGTTATCACGATAATTTTATGTTTACGCGAATAATGTACCTGACTTACACAAATAAATAGCAATACAACTTCATATTTCATTTGGAAAATAATAATCTGTGTGTTGTTCGTTTAATATTATAAGTGTATTGGCTAAAATTAATAATTACAACTTATATTTTTTCACCGGTCTTCACAATTTTCGTGAAGTAACTAGATAAATTCTAAAATATATCTATTCCACGTATTTACGTATCTAACAGTTATTTTCAGCTTGAAATCATGAAACTTAAATCTTTTAATGTTTTTTATTGTAATAAATATTAAATGAAATAGTTTTACAACTAACACACTATTCGTTCAGTTCAAAAAATTACATATACCATTGAAGCAATTATAATTTATAATTATACAAACTTTGTATTAAACTAACTAACTGATAACTAATAATTTATTATTAAAAATAAAATAGTTTATCTAAGCATTTTTTGAAATATAGCAGTACAATTTTATTTCACTAAATATGAATTCACCTAATATATTTAAATAGTACGTTCGTACTTACTGTCAGATTAGATATTAATAATATATTATTAAAATTTAAAAAACAATTAATATATTGTTAAAAAGTACTATCCCATGCAAATTTAAAAAAAAAGAGGAAAAGAAGGTTAAACCTATGTTGCAAAATACAACTATAATAGATATTTTATATTTTAATTCAACGGTAAATAATTATAAATGAATAACAACTCTGAAAAATCTGCTCTAATGTTTTTAAATTTGGCCTGAAAACCAATACTCAATTATTTGAAATAAATTTATAATTTTTAGATTAATAACATTTTTATTTATTTATTTTTTTTTTTTTTTTTTTGAATCGATTAGACCAAGACTTAACTTCAAAATTACAAAAATTATATTAGGTAAAAATACATTTATTAACTCTATTATTTAATCAACTCAAATCAAGCACAGTTTGCATTCTTCTCTACAGATCCTACAGATCCACATCCGTGTAAAATCCTCTAAAGAAGTTTTAATAACAAAACAATAAAGGTAGACTTATGCTCTGATCACTCTGATAGCCATTGTGATGAGTGTGTTAAATTTGAATTCAATGTTAAATTATTGTATACAAAAAACGATCCTAAATGGAGACAGTCTATATCATGAAGTATATTTCATGGTTTTTTTTTTTTTTTTTTTGGTATTGCTGTTAGATTAAGTAATTAATTTTAGGCACTACCTATTAAAAATAAATATACATACACTAAGTTGGATTAATTTTTACCAAAAACATTGAATTTGAAAATATCATTATTCAATTAATTACATGTAATAATTTAAGTACGTAACAATTTTATTTCACAATGAACAATGATTTTAAACAATGACAAACTAAAGAATATCGTTATTCATGGTTTAAATATGTAATTGCATCCTAATATTGTATTAAGTTTTTAAATCTTAAATATAAAAAGAAAATTTTTGAATTTATAACTACAAGAAAATTTATAAATTTCATCAAAATTCTAAACTTAAACACTTATGAAAAAATATTTGTGACCATCTAACCTAACCTTGGTAATCTTCATTATAATTAAATTAATATTTTATTCATTTTAATTTTTGTTGAATATTTATACTTAGGATATTGGTCTATTATGTAAATTGAGATTAAAAAAAAAAAAGAATATATAAACTTCGTTTTTCTTTAAATTTATTTTCTAAAATTTCTTCAAAAAAATTATTCACTTGATCAAAATTCAAGGTCAAAAAAGATGTTATTACATTTTGAATTATACAGGTTTGATCGTATAAAATTACTATAATATTAAAAGTAAAATAAATTAGTTTATGACTACATATACCAAAAAAAGAAAACACTTCATGATATATTGATATAAACTGTTACAATATTTTTTAGTTACTAATTCATAACAATTTTTGTTTTTATATCTAAAATTCAAAAATTTAATACGAGGTTCTTTGTAAGTTTTTCGACTTTTACTTAAAAATAAAATTCAACAGAAAACACTATTAATTAATTATATTTCATCAACACATTTTTTATATTTTATTAATACTTGAAATTTATAACACACATTTGTATGATAATTTTCATCATATGAGAAAATTTTAATTTTTTTTTTTTACCATTATTGCAGTTAAAAAAATTATTTTGGTCAAATTTATTGAAAATGTAATGTAAGATTCCTCAAGAGTATTTCATAACAAAATAATAAAATTAAGAAAATATGTAAGTAGAATTTTTTTATAAATATTTTAAACTAATTTAGAAGAAATTATTTTTTTAAACAATAAAAAACATATGTAAATTAGTTTGTTTTAACTTGAAAACATTATTAGTGGAAACATAAAACTTAAACTTATAATATATTATCATAAATTTTATTTTATAAGATATCATTTCTGATTTATTTATGTTATAAATCTATTCTCAATGTTTTACAGAAACATTTTATGAAATTTTAAATTATATAATATGATAAATATGAATACAATGATACGATAAATTTAATATTTTTGGAAAAAATTATATCAACTTATTACAATACTAAAAGTAAAATAAATGACTTTAATAGTTATATCAAAAACAAAAACATTATCACTTGTTAATAATAGAGCATTTAAATTCAGGATTGTTTATCATATATAGGGCTCTGGCTCTGATTTTTATGAAATTGCATATTGTTTTCTATTTATCCAATTTAATGTTAACCTGAATACAAATTTAATTCATGTTATACTGAATCAAATAATACTATTTTTATTTTGCACATTTTATGGTTTTGTATTTTAATTACATACTTTGGAATTTAAAAAATAAAAAAGCATATTTCACTACATAAAAAAAAGAAAAAAACAATTTAATTAACGAACTACACGATTAATTTCATAATTTGTATGTATAAATGTTATAAATGGTAACTACAGTCTACAATTTACCAAGTATTGACGTAAAATATAAATGTTTATTATTGACTTATCGTGTTTGTTCGAAATTACAGTACTTTATTGGACAAGGTCTAAGATAACATCAGTTGATGTAGAACAAAGCTTTTCACATTACAAAAATGTACTTAACGATAATAGACGCAGTTACAAATTTGAACAAATTAAAAAAAAAACTATAGTAGCACAGTATAACGCTAATAATGGTAATACCTAATTTATAAATAATAATGTAAATTAAAGTAAATAAAACACTATTTAAATTTAAAAAATATATTTAAAACTTTTTTTAAATAAATAATAAAATTTTTTGTGCATATTTTGGCATTTTTATTGGTTAAAAATGCATATTTTATCATTTTTAGCGCATATTTTGTAATTTTTTAGTACGTAAATGCATGCATATAACAGTAGTTTTAAGTGCATAAACATCCGAGCCCTAATCATATACAATGAATATATATATCATTGAATTCAAATGTAAAGAACCTTTTGAATATTTTTCTGTATATTTAATAAAATTATTAAGTTTAATAAATATATAAACGCAATAGTTTTTTAACTTTAAGGCTCTGGCTCTATTCTATTCCTTTGTTAAAATAAAAATAAGCATATTTTTTTAAGTATAATTACTGATCATGATATTGTTGAAAATAACAAATAATTTTTAGTTTTTATTCATATGGTATTTGCATTGTGATACCTTAATGGTGTATAAATATTAACAAGTTATTATTTTATTTCAAGTCTTTTCTTTATTTCATCGGTAAACAACATAAAAAAAAAAAAAATAAGAAAAGCAGCAGATAAAATATGCTGATAATGATAATGATAATGTAATGGAATATGAACTTAAATCTTCAATTACATATTATAATAAAATAAACCATAGTACATGAATACAAAATCAACAAATTAAAATATAGTAATAATACTAAAAATAAATTTAAAAAAAAAAATACAAAATTATTTCATCACATAAGTAGAGTTGAGTCAAGATAATTATGCAATATCTTATATTACGTGGGTTTAATAAAAAAAAAAAAAGATTCATAAATCAATTTAATATAAAAACTTAGAAATATTAAGTCTTTAAATATTGCATTTACTTAACAATACTTTCAACATTATTTATAAATAACAAAATCACTAATCATTAAATATGAAACTAATAGGAATACAAATAATATAACATGTTTCAATTTTAAGTATAAACAAAAACAAAAATTAGTTAACAGAAATATAATATATAAACACAACATTTTTAGTGTCAATTAAATGTTCAATTAATTAAATATTAATCTTTAAAATTGTCCAATTTTTTTTTTTTTAAGTATACGCACCATTTAGAATTTTGTAGGTTTGATTTCTGTTGAAATTATTCATAGATCATCTAAAAAATAAAATATTTAAAATTAGTAATTATTTTTATAACAGATTTATTATGCATTAAAATAAACTAGTAGATAATAACACCATTTATTTAGAAATTTTTAGTGTAGGAATTGATTAATAAGTTATAAAAGTACACAACAATATTTAAAATTTTAGATTTTTTAAATCTTTATTGATTGCTATTAAATATAATATCTAATTTTATTGTGATCATTATATAAAAAAAAAATTTAAGTTTTTTCTTTTCATAGAGATGAAAAATAAAATTGTTTTTTAAATCTCATAATGACAAATACATAAATAGTTGTGTGTTTAAAGTCAATTTTGTGGCTTGGCATGGCACGTTGACTACTACCAGTTGTAGAATGCAACTGGGAGTAAGTAACAGCCACAACTACTAGCTCCTGGATGGGTGACGACTCGGGTTCACAGTGGTTAAAAACCTCATACCACACACACATGTTAACCGTACCAACTTTACTCCTACCAACAGTTTATAACCCCTAGAACAGCTAATGGCCCTAGTCACCAAGCTTAGGTTAATAAAAAAAAAAAAAACAAATAAATAAATAAATAAAGTAAAGTTTTTTCCTATTGGAAAGTGATTTTTATAGATCAAAACCATTATGAAAAGTTACTGACTAATAAATCTCAAGACAAATCCAAAATTATCTTATACATAGGTATTATCTGTTACAATATAATACCTTAGTATAAAAGAATTATGTATGCAGATCTACTTTATTTTAATTAAAAAAATTATATCAATTTATAAGTAAATAATATGGTTTCTGATAAAAAAAAAGTGATTTTTATTACCTGCATTTTCTTGACTGCCAATGATTAAACAGGCTTTAACAAACTTTCTATGAAATTTATACTTCAAAAGTTGACTTGGAGTATGACATCCTTCAAATGATTTTATTGTTTTAGATGTTGATAGTTGTGTCAATTGTTGACGAAGATCACTATCGTTGAGTATATCATTTTCAACAATGTCTTCTGCTCCGGAATAATTTTGACTAGCTTTTTTTTCTTTGTTATAAACTGTGCCTTTTCTTGTCATACTCTCATTGTGATTTACTTTAACTTCTGCTGACAAATGTGTTAAAATATTCCTCCATGTTTTTGGAATACCATTTATTTCTACACATGCACGAAACAAATCTATTGGAGATCCTTCAATGATTGGACCAATTAGGTGGTAAAATCCTTTATCTGTTTTGACAATGTTTTTGGTTTTGCGGGCTACCAAAATACCAGCTTTATGAACTTTCTTCAATACTCTGATTTGATCTTCTGCCAATAAAGTACCTAGAAATATAAAAATAAAAAATATACTATTTATGATAGACATATTAATGTAACCTTAAAGATATTGATATTTTTATTTTATATTTCATTAGATTGTTACTAATTTATAATCCAATATCATAGGAATTTGTTAATAGTTGTTAATATAGTGACTGTTTTAGTAAAAAGTATTTGATGTGTGTAAAAAAGTTATCATATTGTTAACAATTCTATTTCATTCTTTCAGTACCAGTAATGATTTATATATCTTAAGAGTTTTCAAGTAAGTTATAAACATTTCAAAATTGTAAATTTATATAATCATTTATTATTTAATAAGTATCTATAGGTTAGTCTAACAAATATTTTATTATTAAACCAAATTTGAAATATAATAAAACATTTTTATACCTAATAGTATTTAAATGAGTCTTGTCTATACTGGTAATTACTACTAGACCAAAAGTTGGCTGTAGTCCATAAACGTGAAATATGACTCAAAAATGACCTAAAAGAGCAAAAATAAATATACCATAATGGCAAAAAAAAAAAACTACCTTTTTAATAAACTATAATCACAAATAATCTTTACAAAAATAGTGTATTTCATTACTAAGATACAAGTTTATAATTTATATATTGTATAATTATCAACCTTCACTGTAATTTGTTATGATAAAATACAATACAATAATACTAAACTTCAACTAAAATACACATCACTGTTGATGTATTTTTGAGTTATAAAAATACTATATATTTAATTAAAATGAATAATTTAATTTAATAATTAATAATTTTAAAATTAAACGTATATTTTAACGGTTATAATATTTATTTTTGTGTTTTTATCCCACTACTAAGGTACAACAATGCAAAATAAATGTGCATTTTTGATCAATCGAAAAAAATTGACAATTTGTACTTATGGGTTTCACTGTAAAAATCTATTAATTAATTTAAGATTTAAAATAAATACTTAAAGTTAAACATCATCCAATAAAGATTCACTTTATCATCAATATTATCGATAATCAAAAATGTAGTTTATGATAATTTGGTTTTACAGTTTGTCTCAAAATATCTAGAAGACAATAAATACTATTTTAATATATAGGATTGTTCAATAAAAATTAATCGTTAATTTTGTTTTTGAAAACTATTTATTTATCTTCTATTTACTTTACTTAGGTACTGGTTTTTACTCTGTGTATACATTTTATTCAAATAATGAGTATTATGAAAATAATATTTTAAAAATAAAAATATATCAAGTATAGCCTACCTAAAGCTTGTTGCATGTTTAATAATTTTTATAATAATAAAAATAACTTTTGTGACACCTATAAATAATTAATGGCTAATTTATCCATTTATTTAATTTATTATTTTTGTATTGCTAAAACAAATGTAAAAAACACTTGCCACTATTAAGAATAATTTTGGCTAGCACAAATGGTTTTTGAATATCATTTCATAAAATGGCTTAGTGCCTAAGGCCTCAAATAAAAACGCTTAATATTACATTTTTTATATGTGCTAATATTTATCAACCAAGGCCCTATATTTCAAAAAAAAAAAAAAAAGACACTAAAAAATGTTTATTTAATTACCTGTTAATGCGATGACTGATTTTGAATTGTTCTTATTCGATTTAATTTGCTTTAAATTCACTGACCACTTGGTTAAGCACTTAACTTTAATTTTTTCAGAACAATTTAACTGATCTTGAAATTGAGATGTGCTAGAGTTGTCAATGTTACTTGGTATCTCAACAGCTTCAACTAATTCAGAATCAGTGTCCATGGCAATGTCAGCATTAGCATTATTGATCGTAGTAGGTGGTGCATTATCAATTTTTAACGACTCAGAGTATGGTATTGGCATAGTTGGTGGCAGGAATTTTGATTGTTGAGTATTTTTTTGAGCAGAACCATTATTGACTATACTTTCTTCAATAACTGTATCACATAAGTTGCTTGTTGTGTAAGGAATATTGTTCAATTGATCGTTATGAATCATTGTTGTTTTGGGTTTATGTTCGGCAGCCACTGGTCGTTGAAATAAATTTGGTTGTTCAATGTGTTGCGGATTGTTTTCCCGTGACCCAACATCTTCTGTTGAAGCAGTATTATTTGAAGGTATCTGCATTGTCTGACGTACGGAGTTTGTGCCGTTACGCTGTCCATCCCTTGCAATATGTTTAATACGCCTTGTGAATAAATTGAATTCAGATTCAAATTTACTGAAAGGATAGACTTGCAAAAACTGATTCATCAAATCACCTAAGATTAGACTTTTCTCTTTAATAATATCATTAAACAGTAGTGTTTCGATTGGCGGTTGTGTAATCTGTTGTGGCTGAAATGTCGAGCTTGACGTTGCTCTTTGATTTTCCATCATTAAAAATCTATGCACGGTTTGTTGTCGACAAGAGAACAGCAATAAGCGTCGGGATAATAATGACAATAACACCGTTTGTTTAAACGAACAAAACGACCGAACGAAATAAAAAAACAGAAATGATTGATGTCGGAATCCGCTAATAATTATCGTTAAGTAATAAGTACCTACTAATTCCTTTGACACTAGATGGTTATACTGGATGCACGTCCTTATCAGTAATATCAATAAGTAATAACCATCTAATTCTAACGTTAAAATTTAAACGATAAGTGACAACTGATATTGCATCAGCTACATGCTAAATAGTAAATAGCCACCGTAAAGTAATAGCGCCACGGTCCACGATAGTCATAGAACATAAAAACTGTTTTTTTGTATCTTTTACCTCCAAGACGCCACTGCCCCCACCACAATAATATTTACAATGTTTACGGTTTACGGTTGTTAACATCCACATGTTGATGCAGAATATTTCAAATTTTCACGCCGTTCACTACACTGTTCACAGTATCACTGTTTAATATTAATTATATTTTATAATTATTATTTACTAATGAATAATTATACTAATGTTATGCTCAACCAATTATTTTATGTTGTATATTAAGTACGCTTTTTATAATAATTGTGAATTTTGTTTAGATTCGAACAAATTTTAACATTATAATAAGTAATAACTAATAATTTACGTCATACGTCCTACATAGCACGAGTATTAACTGAACTGTAGGAGTACACCAGTACATGAAAAAAAAAAAATAGGTACTTATAATCAATAGCAATTCAAACTAAATGTCTTCTATTCCATTTTTCTTATGATCATAAAAGTATGAATACATATTATATGTAATATATAAATATGAGTAAGGTTAGGATGTTTATGATTTTGAATAATTTTTTCAGGTTGTCCTATGGCTTTCATTCTCCTATAAAAATCTATTCCGTAGTATCTTTATTCAAAATATCAAAATTTTATTTTGCAAATTATTGCATATTTTACCTTTTTTTTTATTAATAATTGCATAATTTGTATTTTTTCTGTTTTTAAGCACATATTTAACAGTTTTCATTACAAAATTCTGAAAAATACTGTAGTTATTTATTTTATTAATTACAATATAAGTTTGATTATCTGTATTTTACAAATTCTAATAGATTCAAAAACACATTAACACAAAATAGACAAAGATTTACAACGAAACATTTAAAACAAACAATAATTATTTAATGCAACTCTTTTTAAAATATATTTTATTTAATTTTATATAGTAAACAATAAAATTTAAAAATTTAATAGATAATAACGAGTACATATAAAGAAAACTGACTCATTTATTTATATTCTATTAATAATTAAATTTGTCTCTATATATTTATTGAATTTTTTTTTTGTCCACAATTCTTTATTTTTTAGTGCATAAGTGCTTACATATTCATACATAAACATCCTAACCCTAAATATAAGTACTATAAAAGTATTGTTTAAATCATATTAATATTAATAAATCTGTGCCATTTATTAACATTTTAAAGGAGAAATTCCAGTGAAATCTTTCTTATTATATAAAATGCAATATATCTTATACATCTATCTCTACTTTTTTGTATTTCAGTATTCAGGTGTTATAGATTTGGATTATATTTTATAATGGAAATTATTAACTCCATTAAAAATATTTGTTAATTGTGTAACAATGGTTACATTTATATATGTATTTAAACATATGTACTTAACAAAAATGCTTGTCTTTTTTACCGTAACCTTTTTTTCTATTACCTGTTTAAATATTTTAAAATATAGAATACCTATTTAAATGTATGTGTATAATGTTGTTGATACATAAATGTAAAAAGTATTGAGAATTATTTCTTTTATTATAAAAAAAAACTATTGAAAATAATTATATACTTTTAAAAGTTTTTAAGGTTTTTAAAAACTTATTAAAAAAAAAAATTTATATTTCTTTAAACAATAATTTTTTTTTATATGCCAAATCAAACTTCCAGTATTTTTGAGTGAAAACTAAACGACAATAGTAAATAAATATTTTTTTCTTTTAATATGATAGGTTTTATTCTACAATCTTTAACAATAATTATTTTTTATTTTTGAATTCAAATGATATCTCTTATTAATTATGCTAATTATTATGTAAATAAAAAATATTTTTATGTTATTAAATGTTAATTTTTGTTTAGTAGGTACTTAAATGAGTTAGGTATATGAAAGTCTACATAAGTTCACATAAATAAATTAAACTTTGTAGAACTCAAAGCATTAATTAATTTGAAAAACTAATTTTAAATATTATAATTAGTGGGCAAGTCATGCAAAAAATTCTCCTGGAAATCACTTTACAGCAGGTGTTAGTATACCTCATTTCTAAGTAGATATTGTAATGACTAATGAGTGTCATAGATGTATTACATATATAATATATGATATATGATAAATTGTTGTTAAAGGAAGAATAAAAAAAATTGTCAAACATTTTGACTACTTCTTTTTTTATGCATATGATACTCAGCATCAAAATAAATTTTGGTTACTGAAAATTTATTTTAATATTGAAATTATTTTGAATTATAAATTAAAAAACAGAACATTATTTATATTTTCAAAATTTTAGAACATGTAAAAGAATTAAGAAAATATAAAATAAAAATTTCAAAATTTTAATGTTTCCTTATTACTTCTATCATAAAAATGTATTTTTTATATTTTTATTTCTAGGTACTTTATTAGAAGAAGATCAAATCACAGTATTGTCATTCTTTCCCCGATATATGTTGGTATTTTCTTGTTGACAACAAACTGTATATCAATTTTTTATGATGGAAAACCAAAGAGCAACTTCAAGCTCGACATTTCAATCACAACAGTTTGCACAAGAGCCAATCGAAACACTATTGTTCAATAATATTATTAAAGAGAAAAGTCTAATCTTAAGTGATTTGATGAATCAGTTTTTACAATTCTATCCTTTCAGTAGATTTGAATACGAATTCAATTTATTTACAAGGCGTATTAAACACATAATAAGGGATGGACAGTGTAACGGCACAAACTTCGTACGTCAGACAATGCATATACTTTCAAGTAATACTGCTTCAACAGAAGATTTTGGGTCACAGGAAAACAATCTGCAATACATTGAACAACCAAATTTCTTTCAACGACCAATGACTAATGATCAATTGAACAATATTCCTTACACAACAAGCAATTTATATGATACAGTTATTGAAGAAAGCATAGTCAATAATGGTTCTGTTCAAAAATATACTCAACAATCAAAATTCTTGCCACCAACTATGTCAATACCATACTATGAGTCGTTACAAATTGATAATGCACCACTTACTACGAACAATAATGCTAATGCTGACATTGCCATGAACACTGATTCTGAATTACAATTACTTCAAGCTATAGCTTCAATAACACCAAGTAACAGTGATAACTTTAGAACATCTCAACTTCAAGATCAGTTTAATTGTTCTGAAAAAAGTAAAGTTAAATGCTTAACCAAGTGGTCAGTGAATTTAAAACAAATAAAATCAAATAAGAACAATTTAAAATCAGTCATCGCATTAACAGGTAATAAAATACTACAATATGATAGTTATTTTACACATATCAAATACTGTTTACTAACAGTAACTAAATTGACAACTATTAACAGATTCCTATGATATTGGATTATAAATTACTAACTTCAAAATTAGTAACAATCTAATGAAATATAAAATAAAAATATCAATATCTTTAAAGTTACATTAATATGTTTATCATAAATAGTATAATTTTTATTTTTATATTTCTAGGTACTTTATTGGCAGAAGATCAAATCAGAATATTGAAGAAAGTTCATGAAGCTGGTATTTTGGTAGCCCGCAAAACCAAAAACATTGTCAAAACAGATAAAGGATTTTACCACCTAATTGGTCCAATCACTGAAGGATCCCCATTTGATTTGTTTCGAGCTTGTGCTGAAATAAATGGTATTCCAAAAACCTGGAGGAATATTTTAACACATTTGTTAGCAGAAGTTAAAGTAAATCACAATGAAAGTATGACAAGAAAAGACACAGTCTATAGCAAAGAAAAAAAAGTTAGTCAAAATTATTCCGGAACAGGAGACATTGTTGAAAATGATATACTCATCGATAATGATCTTCGTCAACAATTGACACATCTATCTACATCCGGAACAATAAAATCATTTGGTGTATGTCATACTCCAAGCCAGATTTTGAAGTATAAATTTCATAAAAAGTTTGTTAAAGCCTGTTTACTCGTTGGCAGTCAAGAAAATATAGGTAATAAAAATCACTTTTTTTTCAGAAACCATATTATTTACTTATAAATGAATATATTTTTTTAAATTAAAATAATAAATCTGCTTACATAGATTGTTTATATAACAGATAATAGCTATTTATAAAATATTTTTGGGATTTTCTTGAGATTTATTAGTCAGTAATTTTTAAGAATTGCTTTGACCTATAAAAATCATTGATTTCAACAGAAAAAAATTTACTTTAAACTCACAACTAATAATGTACTTGTCATTATGAGATTCAAAAAACAATTTTATACTTCGCTCTTATAAAAAGGAAAAACTTAAATTTTTTTTAATTTATAATAAAAAACTATAATATATTAATCACAATAAAATTAGATATTATATTGCATAATAACCAACAAAGATTTAAAAAATCTAAAATTTTAAATTTTGTTTTGAATTTGTATAGCCTATTAATCAATTTCTACTCAAAAAATGTCTAAATGAATGGTGTTATTATCTACTAGTTTATTTTAATGCATAATAAATCTGTTATAAAAATAATTACTAATTTTAAATATTTTATTTTTTAGATGATCTATGAATAATTTCAACAGAAATCAAACCTACAAAATTCTAAATGGTGCGTATACTTAAAAAAAAATAGACAATTTTAAAAATTTACATTAAATTATTTGAACATTTAAATTGACATCAAAATTATTGTGTCCATGTATTATATGTCTGTTGACTTATTTTTATTTTTGTTTTTACTTAAAACTGAAACTTGATATAATATTTGTATTCCTAATAGTATAATATTTAATGGTTAATAAGTTTATTATTTATAAATAATGTTTAAGGTATTGTTAAGTAAGTGCAATATTTAAAAATTCTCATAATATTTAAAAGTTTTCCTATTAATTTGATTGATGAATCAATTTTTTTTTTTTACCCATGTAAATATAAGATATTGCATAATTATCTTGACTTAACATTACTTATGTATTGAAATAATTTTGTATTTTTCTTTTAAAATTATTTTTATTATTATTATTATATTTTTAATTTTTTAATTTTGTATCCATCCGTGTAATATGATTTATTTTATCATACTATGTAACTAAAGAATTTAAGTCCATATTTCATTCCATAATAATTATGCATTATCAGCATATTTTAACTACTGCTTTTCTCATTTTTTTTTTTTTTTGTTTTTGTTTTTGTTTTTAATGTTGTTTACCAATGTAATGAAGAAAAGACTTGAAATAAAATAATAACTAAAAAAATATGCTTATTTTTTTTTAAACAATGGAATAGAAAAGAGCCAGGGCCTTGAAGTTTAAAAAACTATTGTGTTTATATATTTACTAAACTTTATAAGATACATAATATAAATAAAATATTAGAAATTATATCTTATGTAATAAAATTTATGATAATATATTATAAGTTTAAGTTTTATGTGTCCACTAATAATGTTTTCAAGTTATAAAAAACTAATTTACATATGTTTTTTATTGTTTAAAAAAATAATTTCTTCTAAATTAGTTTAAAATATCTATTAAAAAATTCTACTTACATATTTTCTTAATTTTATTAATTCGATATGAAATACTCTTGAGGTATCTTACATTACATTTTCAATAAATTTTACCAAAATAATTTTTTTAACTGCAATAATGGTAAAAAAAAAAAAATTAAAATTTTCTCATATGATGAAAATTATCATACAAATGTGTGTTATAAATTTCAAGTATTAATAAAATATAAAAAATGTGTTGAAGAAATATAATTAATTAATAGTGTTTTCTGTTGAATTTTATTTTTAAGTAAAAGTCGAAAAACTTATAAAGAACCTCGTATTAAATTTTTGAATCTTAGATATAAAAACAAAAATTGTTATTAATTAACTAAAAAATAATTTGCTAATTTTTATGAATTTTGTCAAAATTATAACTTTAAATTCTTATGAATAAATATTGTGCTGTAGGACACATTAAAATTCTTTATAAGTAGTTAATATTAAAACATGTCTAACAATTTATATCAATATATCATAAACTATGTGATTGGTATAGTACGTAACTATAAACTTATCTATTTTACTTTTAATATTATAATTATTTGATATAATTTTTTTTCAAAAATATTGCATTTATTAAATTATTAGTATTAAATTATTATAACAGTATACATTTATAGCATATTAGGTATATCAACTCATATAATTCAAAATGTGATAAAATCTTTCTTGACATTGAATTTTAACGAATAATTTTTGTAACGACATTTTAGAAAAAAAATATAAGTATAATGAACATCAAAATTTATTTTGTAAAAAATAATTTAAAGAAAAATGAAAATTATTTTTCGTCTTTTTTTTTTATCTCAATTTTGATAATAGGCTGAGCCCCAAAATAAAAAAATTTAACAAAAATTAAAATTTATATAATATAAATTTAATTATAATGAAGGTTACCAAGTATAGTTTAGACCTAATCACACTCATTGATATAATTGTAATTACAACTAAGCTATTTCCTAGAATAGATAGGTTTAAAGTGTTTCTTTCTTAGACAAAAAATGTAAAGTAAAAATGTCTATGGTGAAAATATCCGATGTTGAAAAATCCATTTTAGTACTCCACCAAAGTTGTTGTCTATTGGTTTGCTCATAAATATTATGTAGTCTGTTGTGCTTTAAAACTGGACGAAAAATACAAAAAAAAAAAAAAAATCTAAAAAACATTTTAGTATCTATAGTATATATTATTATAACATTAGAGGTCATTAGGTATCATGTTTAGAAGTCAATGCTAGGATTATTTTCTAGAGTTCAGTAACTTAAAGATTTTTTTTTTAAATATACCTAAAAATATAAAAGTTTATGGTAACTACCTATACCTATTCATATCTTGAGCGAATTAGAATAATGATAAATATCTAGGCACCTGTATTTTAGAATCACAATATTTTTATTATGTGTATCTATACGATTAGGTACTTCGCGATTTCAAAACGTTGGTAAGTTAGCAATACAAAACTGTAAACAGTAAACCTACCTATCCATTAAAAATAACAACAGTAAACGCCATATAACTTATAAGTTTGGGCTGTCAGCTTTGTATTTTAGTATTTCATCAAATTTCATAAACTAACTACTATTATTAATTATTTAAGCTTTATAAAATAATGATACAACTTCGTAGTTATTATACAGGTACAAAATACATATGTCGTATAACTAAGCTAACGTTATTTCGTGGTATCTACAATATGCGCTCTCATCTAGCATAAGTTTAGAATTTTGATGAAATTCGTAAAATCTCGAAATTTATAAATTTTCCTGTAGTTGTAATTTTAAAAATTTTGTTTTTGTATCTAAGATCTATCTATTATTAGTAGGTACAGTAGGTACCTATATTTAATACCTAAAATAAATAACTTTATCTATCAGTAATATTAAAAATAAGCATGATATATCTATAGGTAGGTACTTCGTGATATAGGTATAGGCTAATAGACTGTATCCGTTTAAGATCATTTTTCGTATACAATAATAAAACATTAAATTCAAATTTACACACCCGTCACAATGGCTCACTCGTCACTTACTGTACAGCAGAATGGTCCATTATAGCCTATCTTTTTTTTTTTTTTGTTTTATTAAAACTTCTTTAGAGGATTTTAAACATTTACGAATCTGTAGGATTTATAGAGAACTGTGCCTGAGTGAAGAATTAATTAAATATTATCTAGAGTTTGGTAATAAATATATTTTTCACCTAATACCTACCTATAGATTATTTTTTACTTGACGGATTATCGTGTTCGTGAAGTAAGGTAAATCTTGATCTAATCGTTTCAAAAAAAGTATTATATTAATCTGAAAATTACAAATTAATTGCAAATAATTTAGGATTTATTTCTGCGGCAACTTTAAAGACATTAAAGATCAGAGTTTTGCAGAATTGTTTTTCGTGTGCAATTATTTATCGAGGCACAGCTAACATTATACGGCGCCGGCATGCAGTGACTGGTCGGAGACAAGCCCGGATTAAGGGGGGGCAGGAGGGGCCAAGTCCCTGGGGCCCACGTATGTTAAGGGCACATAGTCTTCTCGGTTTAAAATTACATTAAGTGGTAATTTGTACTTTTTATAGTACCTACAAAAATATTTTTATTTTTTTCTTGTTTGAGCTAACAGCCGATGGGGTCCGTCGACTGTGTTTACCGCCAATAGTATGGTAAGTGGGGACACATAGCGTCATAGCCAGGTTTGTGTTTGTTGGGAAAAGGCATATATTTTGATATTACTGTATTTAAAAATAGAATTGGGAAAATTTGTTTATGTGACTGTCTCGGTTATGAATACTCATAATTCAGATACCTACCGACTAAACCTGTTTACATAAACAAAACTTAATTTTATGTATAAATATATATTTTAATAAAAATATAATATTTTTTTAATATTTTTATCCTCATCAATCGTTATTATACTGAAATAAAAATGTTTTAATTTGTTTTATTGTATAATTTTATAATTTTAAAGAATTGTTTTTATTGACGGGGGCCCACAACCATGTATTGGCCCCTGGGCCCCTGAAGCTCTTGATCCGGGCTTGGTCGGAGAAATTTATTTGGAGACATAGATTTCTGTTTGGTCTAACATACCTATACGTTTAACATTTTCTCAATATAATCTGCAAATAAATACAATAAACTATTCTATCCACCGCCTCAGTGTCAATGTTTTAAAACGTATTTGTTAACACGTTCAACGCCGACGAGACGACGCTCAGTCGTCAGTCGATGTCGGGCGCGCCCAGACGATAACGAATCGTAGTCGTCAGTCGATAACGGGCGCGCCCAACCGATGACGAATCGTAATCGTCGTAGCACAATAATTATTTTTGTACGTCGTCTAAAATGGTCGGCTGGTGGCGAACGATCATTATATTACCATTTTCACGGCCATTTAATAGATATACCTATAATATGTATTAGAACAACGAAATGCAGCCGAATTTGGTTTCTTGGAATATTTCTATCGCGTTTATAAAACGTATTATATTAATATTATATGAATACCAATGGTATATTATGTGACTGATGAACAATACATTGTTATTTTTCTATAAAATTTGCTTACTATTTTTATTTATTCAATTGTTTTGTAGGTATAAATGGTATAATTCTTTATTATCAGAAAACCGTTTAATACGAATTCCGAAATTGAGCCAACGACGGGCGTGACTCGGCTGAGAACTATGAAAACAAAATATGTTTTGTTCGATATATCTATAACGAGTTACTGCAGATATTGAGATACTCGATGTTTTAGGAAATGGTGTAGGTTTTCATCCGACGGAGATTTTGGTTTAGATCATGATGATTAATTTTATGATAGATATAGTGTTTTGGATACAGATAATTTACAATTTACCAGACAATAACAATGGCAATTAAAATAGTACCTACTAACAGTGTTGTCAGTGGTGATAATGATTCGTTGAGTTATAATGAAAATGAATAAAATTGGTTCACTAGCTGATTCTCCAATTGTAGAGAATATCCAATCGATTCATTGTTTAAATTTTTTGTTTGTGGACAAATTATTGTTGCCTATAGCTGTTGGACCGTATTGTAGAATAAACAAATGTTTATCGGTTTATATTTACAACAATTACAATTATTTGT